ACCAAGTAGTTCAATAGGTGGCCAAAAGTTAATTGCACACGGTGTGCACAAGGTTCAAATGTTCTCCTTTATGATACTTGTGAAGGCAGAGTCATCTTCCTGCTGTAGCTTTAGCAAGATTTACAAAATCTCACTACAGTTCTGACTTTACTTGCTGTAGTCTGCTAGTGAGGAGGTCTGTATAAAAGGCAAATGATGCTGACATGATAGGCAGTGTTGGTTGGTTAGTTACTTGCAGTATTAACAGGAGAGGACGTGTGTTTGTTACCACTGCTGCTCACTAGTCACTAGTTGTAATGGCTTGTTGGCCTAGTATAATTCTTGTACCATGTGTTGAGCTTTGGTCAGCTCACATGCTGTTTTTAAATGCGCTTGATCAATAAACTGGTATGGTATGGGTAGTTCGCATTGGGTCAAAAATATGACATTCACTTTAGGTTGTCACATATTTTGTGCATAAAAGCTTTTGCATATTCATAGTGTTTCCTCCCTTTGATTAAATATCTACTTTGCAAGTACTGCAAGTTGCCTTGTTGGCACCATATTTCCTGCTGAGTAAATGCGTAAGCTACGCTACGTGCATGGTGACGTCATTCGCGCTGACTGGAATTGATAAGGGAATTGTTTGCAAAAATGGCAAAACGATTCCTGGGAGTGGGAACCAGTTCTCAACAAGAATTGGTCTTTGATCCCCACCCCTAAGCAGGTGGATATTGACTGAATTTGAATTTAATTAACCATTTCAACATTTAATTAACAACCACACCTCTTTTTTATATCCCTATTTTACAAAGCAACAATGTAAATTAAAGCTGCAAGCAGCGTCATTCGGCCCTCGCAGCTCAGGGCCACTCCGGCCTGGCCGGCAGCCGGTGCACCCGGGCACGTCCGCGGAACAGAAACGTTGACCACCCCGACACCAGAAACCGCGAATGGTCTCCTCGTCTGCACCTCACCCTGACTCAGCATCTCCTCTGAGCCCACCAATATATTACACATCTCACCACTAGGGGGTATTCTATATTTACCACACAGGTGGTGTGATGACACAGACCAGGTTTAATGCTATTCTGATCACGTTTTTTGAAGTTATTGAAGGTTAAAGTTATCTAGGGGGCATTGTGACGAACTACAGAAAAATCCCATTGAGGTCAGCTTTGATTGATAAAGATGGTTTTGTGGTAGTTTGGCATCAATCAGATGTTGCGTGTGCTTTATGGAGCCAGATAGCCGAAAAGGGGCCGAGCTAAAGGGGTTTGAACCAACAAACACATCAATGTGTTTGGTGCAGTCACATGAAGACACAAGCCAAGTTCAATGCCATTCTGACCTTGTCTTTAGAAGTTAATAAAGTTTGAACCTATCTAGGGGGTGCTGTGACCATTTACAACTAAATCCCATAGAGGCCATCTTTTGTCATCAAAGACGGTTTTCTGTTAATTTGGCACCAATCAAACGTTGCATGGGTCATCTAGAGCCAAAAGGCTGTAAGTGGGCGGAGTTAAAGTGATTTGAACGAGTGAGCACATACATGTGTTGATTGCAGTTGTGTGATGACTCCCACCATGTTTGATATAGTTTGGAGCTTTTTTGCAGAAGTTACAAAGGTTTTATTGTATCTAGGGGGCGCTGTCCCAAATTTAGGAAAATATCCAATGGAGCAGTTTGTAGGTTGACAACAATCATTTGTGTGTAGTTTGGTGTGAATTGCATCATGCATGTGTTATTCAGGGCCTAATAACTGTCAGGGGGCAGAGCTAAAGCAGTATGAACCAATTACCACAGGATTGTGTTGGGTGCCTTTGTGTGATGACACATAGCAAGTTTGGAGCAGTTGCGACCTCGTCTGTAGGAGTTATTACTGTTTTAAAGGTATGTAGGGGGCGCTGTGGTGATGTTATACAATGTTCACCAACCGTTTGTGCCTCATTGGCTGAAGGGCATGATTGTTGATTGCCATGTTCGGTCTCGTGCAGATTGGAGGCTGTGGAAGTTACAGTCAAAGGTAAGGTCACGGCGTCATGCCAGAATTCGCCATGGCATCAAAGCCCCTCCCTTTCTGGAAAGCTATCAGAACTGAATGGTCATTACAGCATCATGAAGACAGTGCATGACCATAGTGTCATGTTGACTAAATTAGAGGGGGCAATTATGGGCATTTCACCATAAAACAATAGACTTCCTTTTGTCAGGGGGCGGGGCTTAGGTGATGTCAGCTGTCCACATAGTTCTTGTCTTGAGATGTGGTCAGTGATCACACAGACAAAGTTTGATATAGATCTGATCATGCACATGGGAGTTGTTACGTCAAGTAATGTTATGGCGAAAGGTCAAAGTTTGAGGCTTAGCCACGCCCACACCTTTCAAGTAATTTAAAATCCAATGGTTGAATTTTTTTCCCCCATGTCTTAAAGGTATATAGCAGAAGTTTGAAGGCAATTAGTGGAAAGGGCGACGGGGCATCACTCTCCAAACGACGTGTGTGAAAACTACTAAATCGAGTACTTGGACCAAAATGGCTGACCTCCTGTGCGACTTTGCACTTGGCTCCAAGAGACTTTTTTGTAGGTCCAGAGACACCACATTAGTGTACCAAATTTTGTAATTCTCAATCAAAGCATGGCTTGGGACTGACGGTTTTAATGGTCCTAGGGGGCGATATTTCAGAAAATAGGCCACGACCGCCAACTTATCCTGTCCATTTTTATTGGGGTCAGACTAGGATCACTCACCCACTTATTGTTGGATAGCAATGTCACTGACTTCTCCTCGAGCTTCCACAAGCCTGCTCCGTTTATTTCAGCCTTTTGCCTTTTTAATAACTTTACTGACAGTCTGTGCAAAGACTTGTCCAGGTCATTTCTGCAGGTCCAATTTCAGTCCCCAGTAAGTGCAGACTGTGACGCCAGATGACGTCTTTTTCGTCACGTCTCCTGCACGTGCTGTATTGATGTCCTTAAGACATTCAGATTAGGGCTAATTCTGGTCGTTGTGGATGTCCTTCTCACGTCCCCAAGACACATTGTAGCAACGTCTTTTCCAAGTGACTTTTGCACGTCCAGACATGGTTAATTCTGGTCTAAACGAGGTTGTGATGGACGTGAGAAGCACGTCCACCAGACGTCTTTCAGACGATTGCACCAGACGAATGCAGCGTCTTTCCCAGATCTTTTGCCATCTGCTGATCGGAGGCTCCCCTAATAGTATGCGTGATTTTGATCGATCAGCTACCACATATTTTGACGTGCGAGGTAGCCATATTGGGTCCAGAGATCAGGTTTAGTCAGAAATAGAATATTAACTGTGTGGGGGCATTCCTGTTGCTTTTTCCCCTTTCATGTCTGGGGGTGCGCTCAGTCTGACTCCCAATGAAACGCACCATTAAGTTACTGAGCGCTTGCCAAAGCATTCAGCCCATATAACTAGCTTCAATGTCTAGTCTCCTTCTATTGACACAGGCGTTTCCACTTAAGTCGGCTCTATGGTCTCATGTTCTGCAGAGATTTTCCACCAACATAGTTAAAAAGAAAATAATTGGAGAAACCCCCTTTATAATACATTTGGTTTAATTTATATTTCTTTGAAGAGCCTGTAATTAAACCAGCCCTCTTGTAGTAGCTGTAAGAGTAACTTGACCCCAAATCTGAATGAATCTCAACACGATTTAGATGAATTCATTAACAACGAGAGGGAACTTCAGCTCCTCATGCGCTTTGGCTCCTGTGGAGGAAAACCTTTTATTAGCGAGTGAAGCTTGACTGGAAGATTTATTGAATAGCCCCATGCAGTGCTCAGTGTTGATGCATGTGAATGTCTTCACATCAAAGCAGTGTTTTTTTTGTGTGTGTTTGTGTATTCACCTGCCATATGTGTTTGTGTATAGGATGTGGCATAGGAGTAGCAGTGGAGTCCTGAGATAAGAGAGTTTTTCTTCCTGTTTTTCATATAGCATGCTGTGAGGGTCGTAGCATGATTGGTCAAAGCATGAAAACAGCAACGCAGAAAGACTAGTCTCTCTGTTCCCCAATCTAAGGTGACAGCTTTATTGTCCTTGGCCACTTGGCTAAACTTTTGTCTCTGCGCACAACAAAAAGTGTGTGTGTGTGTGTGTGTGTGTGTGTGTGGGGGGGGGGGGGGGGTAATGTACTGGTGTTTAGAGCTCCAGGGTTAACCCTATGACAAATTTGACACAACTGGGCCACAGTGCGATCTGAGATCTAATGTGCCATATTTTCACCACTCTTATTGTGTTTTTACATTGAAATGAATTCCTCCTACTAATAAGGGCAGCTCTAGCTTTCATCATCCTGTGTAATCAGATGGGATGGTCGTCAGCATTGCACCGCTTGGGCCTCAAAACGCTCGATCTTGAGGAATGTGGCCTCACATCATTAAGGTCAGAGTGCTGCAGAAACAACGGCCATCCCGCTCCCTGGATCCCATGATCCATCAGAGGCGCTCTCCCGGTGCCTGTTGTCAAGGGCAACAGCCAACAATGGGGCGGTGTAGGGGTCTCCCCTCGTACCATTCATGTGTGCATTCTGTGCTCCGCGCACACACACACTTACCCCTGCGCACACCCCTAAGGAGGATGTTTTTGTTCTTTGGATTGTTTTCATTTGGATCTCTGGGGAAACTTCAAACTCAAAACATGTGTATGCTGTTGAAAAGTTTGCTCCTTTTTGCAGGATCCACGCCAATGATTGAGTCCACCTTTAGCTCTAATCAAACACTAAACAATGAATTCTTTTTACTGTGTAGTGTATAAAACCCAATTTGGCTTGTTTGGTTCAGCGGCTAAACAAAAGTCCTTTTTGTATTTTGAGTTTGTGCCCTTCTAGCTCCAAATGCACTTCATAAGGATGTAGGCAAGTGAGAGATATTACCAAAATAAGGCATTTAATTAGAGAAGAGAAAAAAAATCCTATGATGTGAACCTCACATTCGTGAAAGAGCAACAGTGTTTTGAAAGTAAAAAAATGTACTTTTTGTCTCTACAGGAGATTGTTTTAGTTGAGGGCAGCCGTGTGTTCGAGTCATGGAAGAGGCCTCCTCCTCCTGTTTTCATGGAATATTTCTTCTTCAATGTCACTAATGTTGATGAGATCCTGAAAGGGGCCAAACCGATTGTCACTCAGGTCGGCCCGTACACATACAGGTAAGAAGAAGAAATAATCTTTTCTACAGTACCTCTCAAGAAAAAAATCACAAGGCACTTCACAAGAACAAAATAAAAAATGTAAAAAAACCAAAAAAGATTTTAAAATGTCATAAAAATGGGAAAAGTAAAATTGTGATAAAAAATGGAGGAAAGGGAAAGAGAAAATTAATTAGAAAGAGGTAATCAGTGGATCCTGGAAAAGGCAGAATTGGTAGATAGAGCTAAATGAGGAGAAGTGATGAAGAATCAACTGAAGGTCACGTAAAAGCCAGCTTGAACAGGTGAGTCTTCAGCTGCTTTTTAAAGGAGACCACTGAGTCCACTGATCTCAGGCTCAGGGGGAGAGAGTTCCAGAGTCTGGGGGCCACAGCAGCAAATGATCTGTCACCTTTGGTCTTTAGCCTGGCGCTGCACAACCAGTAGGCTTTGATCACTGGACCTCAGGGACCTGCTGGGGGTGTAGGGACTAAGAAGATCACCAATGTAAGATGGTGCTTGTCCATGTAAGGCCCTATAGACCAGAACCAGGATCTTGAAATGAACCGTGAAGTTGACTGGCAGCCAGTGAAGCTGGAGGAGAAGCGGGGTGATGTGGGTGTGTTTGGAGGACTTGGTCAGAAGCCGAGCACAGGCATTCTGAACCACCTGTAGACGGTTCAGTGAGGTTCTGCTCAGACACGTGAAAAGAGAGTTACAGTAGTCTAAGCGTGAGGAGATGAAGGTGTGGAGAACAGTCTCAAGTTCAGAGTGGGACAGAATGGGACTCAGCTTAGCAATGTTCCTGAGATGGAAGAAGGAAGAGCAAACGAGAACTGACATGAGAATCCAGGGTGAGAGCTGGGTCAAAGGTCATGCCAAGATTCCTGACAGAGGGTTTGGTGTGGGAAGCAAGCTGACCAAGAGAGTCTCTGACTTTGGGAACCAGCTTGTCTGGGGCACAGATGAGGATCTCAGTCTTATCTTCATTCAGCTGTAGAAAGCTCCCAGCCATCCAGGTTTTGATCTAAGCAGAGTCTAAGCAGGTGTGTAACAGCTGCTGCTTAGACGTCTCATGGGGCTTAAAGGAGATGTACAGTTGGATGTCATCTGCATAAAGATGGTAGGAGATTCCTTTGAAGGAATGTTGATGTTGTGTTTTTTTTTGTGCAAACAAATGATGTTCTGGGTGTCTGCTAAAATGTGCTTTTACTCACTCAGCACTTATTTCAACTGAATTTCTTCTTCATTTTTGTTTTTTGTTGCTTTATTTACAACTAGGTTACAACTCAATCATGCCATATATCAGTGAATCATGACTTTAATATTCTTCTGTATGATGGAGTTGTTAATGATCAATGCTTTTAGGCTAAAACACTGAAAAGACCTCTCCACAACTCACACCAACATTATATTAAAATGTTTGATTTGATCATTTGAACCATATTAGCTTTAGGTGACATTCATCTGTAAGACATGAATAAGTCTGGAAACATTGATGAATATCAATATTGTGCTGCTTGCACAGGGAGTACAGGTATAAAGACAATGTGACCATGGTGGAAAATGGAACAATGGTGTCTGCATACAACACAAAAAGCTTTGTGTTCCTGCTAGAGAAGTCTGTGGGAGACCCAACTGTCGACAACATCACTACCGTGAACATTCCTGCTTGGGTGAGTCATGAATTCTGTGGGAAAAATAAAAGCCCAAAAGTGGGAATCCAGGTGGAGTAAAGGGGAACGCTTGTTTCATGTTTCCTCACATGTGGTCTACTTCCTGTCTCCAGGCTGCGATGAACAAGGCAAAAATCAGTTTCTTTAGGAGCTCCATGTTAAACATGTGGATGAACTCATTAAGGACTGGTTTATTCACCACCCGCACTGTACATGAACTACTTTGGGGTTATGAAGATTCACTGCTGGTCAAAATCTCCACCACCAATCGTGAAGTGGAAAAGGACTTTGGCCTAATGATCAAGGTATGGACAGGCTCAACGAAAACTTAATAAAGACTCAAGGATATTACTCTTGAAAGAAAAACATCACATTGTTTTTGCACCACATATTAATGAGGTGAATGTTTGTTTTGCCTAGAAAAATGGAAGTAATGACGGAGAATTTGTCTTCCACACTGGAGAACAGAACTACTTGGATTATGGCCGAGTTAAAACATGGAAAGGTCAAAGGTAACACTGGTTCAGATTGCTCTTGTTATAAAAAAATTCTCACAAATGTTTTGCAAGTAAAAAAAATCATGTTTAAGTTGCTCGTGTTTTTCAGTCTGTTGGTCTTGATTTCTGCTTTCAGCACAAAGTGCAGGGTGGGACTTGGAATGCCTTAAAATGCTTTTTGCTGAGTTTCTATCCAAATTTCTTATCTCAGCTCTTCTAAGGGCTCTAATCACTCTTACTCCAGGGAAGTTCCTATTTCAAGTGTTTTTTGGATCAAAGCATCTTTCATTATTGTAATTTGATCCTATTAAGATGTTGAAATTGTTTGTGTGGATTTTGAAAACACTTATTCCAGTTAATGGTCTTATTTTTCCAAACAGAGTAAAGTTAAATCAGTTATACATGTATGAATTCCTATGTAAACAAATCTAGATGTGAAACATTTAGACAGAAGAATGCTCATGGTTTTGACAACTTGTTTTGCAGACAGCTGACTTTCTGGTCAACCAATGAGTCAAACAGCATCGCTGGATCAGATGGGAGTGCTTTCCATCCCCTGCTGAACAAGGATGAACGCATTTATATTTTCACTCCAGATCTCTGCAGGTACATCGTCACATTATTTTGTTCTATGACTTTAAAAGTATCATATTGTACTTTTTGGATGCTTCAGGACAAAGACCACTTAAGTTTAAGGGCTCTTCTCTGTACAGCATTGCTCCTGGATAGCCTGGAGGAGGCTGCATGAAAGTTGTTTCTGTCTAATCTAGTTTGTTTCAGTGACAAAGGATCTTGGAACTTTTGTTGGCTGGAATAACATTAGAATTATTCATTATTTTCCAATTCATTCAGTAAATTCTATTTTTAGCCTTTTGTGGAGGTTGACATGTCACTGATGGTAAAACTAGATAACATAAGCTAAAAGCACAAGTACTAAATGCCTGGCTAGAGATTACTTTGGTTCCTCTAACAAAATAAAGAGATGGGGTCTCAACTTTTGATACTTGGGTTTGAGTAACGATAAAATTGTAAAGAGAGTCACGACTTAGCTTGGACTTGCAATTCAAACAATTGAGAGTTGAACTGGACTTGCAAATTAAAAACATGACTTGGACTAGGACAGGGTTATTCAAGTTCGGGCCTCGAGGATCTCATGTTTTTGTGGGGGTTTTTTTATGTTCACAAGCACGTTCCCTCTCACGGATTACTAAACCGCTGTTTTGACAAGTTATCAGATTGTCTAAAAATAGGTCGTTTTTTAGTTCAGTATAACTCTGCTTTTACTTTGCCTATTAACAAAATTTAAAAACTGGGGTGTAGTTTATAATCTCCTTTTTAAAGCTGAATTGAAACCGAAACTCAGGGAGGCGGAGTCTTGCTGTTACAGCGTCCCAAATCAGACCTGTTCAAAAGACGCGGATACGCGTCCATGGACCCCAGAGGGTTAATAAAACACAATTCAAATCACACTATTTTCTTAGGCCTATTAATAACACACGTATGAATAGAATAGAATAGAATAGAATAGAATGCCTTTATTGTCACTATACAGGTGTAAAGAGAGATACAGAACATCTCCTACTCAGTGTAAAACAAACATACTTGGGGGGGGGGGGGGGTACAGTTCTGCAGCGCTATGTACATATGGAAAGTAAGTGTTATATACAAATTATTGCACTGTATTGTTACAGTTCTGCAGCGCTATGTTCATGTGGACAGTAATGTTATGTAAATACAATTATTGCACATTGAGTTTGGTATCAATAGATAGTGGTGGTCAATGGAGGAAGTGGGAAGGGGGGGGGGGGGCTGTGTTATCGGTGCATGTGTGAGTTCAGGGTGGTTATTGCTTTGGGGAAAAAACTGTTTTTGAGTCTGTCGGTTTTTGTATTAATGCACCTGTAGCGCTTCCCTGAGGGAAGCAGTCTGAACATGTTGAAGCCAGGGTGGGAGCTGTCCTTGATGATGTTTGCTGCCCTACTGAGGCAGCGGGAGGAATAAATGTCCATCATGGAGGGGAGAGGACAGCCGATGATCTTCTATGCTGTCTTTACCACACTCTGAAGCCTCACTCTATCCACCTTGGTGCAGCTGCCGTACCATACCGTGATGCAGTAGGTTAGCAGGCTCTCAATGGATGAGCGGTAGAAGGTCAGCAGCAGGTCGGAGTTCAGTTTGTACTTCCTGATGACTCTTATGTTCATGTGGAAAGTTTATGTGGTTAAATCCACCAACTACCGGTAAACACATTCTGAACTTCAACACAGCACATCAGCGCTTGAAGCGGCGCTGCGAGCAGCTGCGACGCAAAAAGTACCAGAACCGCTCTCGGCGCATGCGCAATCATGCATCAACACTGCTCGCCCGCTATTTCCCTAATAACACATGCTGTTCGTTTTTATTTCTACACGTTTTTTTTACTCACAAAGATTGTCAAGAAAGCGTGTTTGTCGTGTTCATGTCAAATTAAACTGATCACAAAACACAGATTTACTTTCTTTATTTAATTTTCCTCATCCAACCCCCATAAAACCCTGTGTGTCCTCCTGCAGCACTCCCGATGTGCGCCCGGCTTTAGTAGGAGGGAGACCCGCGATTATCGCTTTGTCGCGCATGTCTCATTGAAAATGAATGGAGGAGAGGCGAAGTTGCCTCCCGTGTGTCGAGCCCATTAGAAGAGCACGAGCCGTCAGCGCACGCAATGAGGAAGTGCACGTGCGCTCTAAACCAGGTCTGAACCAGGACTAGACCAGTAAATTGAAGCATGCTTTTGGCTGTTTATAATTTTCACAATGTCTGGTTTGCACTGATATGTTCCGAGTCCCGAGCCCGCACAGATGTTTTACCGATACGTTTTACCGTGCCCGAGCCCTATAACCCGGTGCGCCTTTTGTATGTGTTAAATACCAAAAAGACACCCGTAACTGAAGCTGCGCCCTATAACACGGTGCGCCCTATGGTCGTGAAAATACGGTATGCTGATACTGGCAAAACTAAAATATGCTGGATACCGGCCCTCAAGGCCCAGAATTGAATAGCCCTGGACTAGGATATCCACAACGTAAGACTTACTGTACATCTATGGTGCTCAGCATAAATGAGTACACCCCCTTTAAAAAGTACAAATTTAATCAGTAGTTCAATGAACAAATGAACATTTTCACAAGGCTGGGTTTTATTGAACACGTGTTTAACTCCATAACATGAAATTTAGGTTAATATTATAATTTAGATCACAAAATCTTCTGTTTTACTAAACTTGGTTGAAGCAAAAATGAACAAAAACGACTACATCTAGTATTTTTATGACCACAGTGATTTTCAAGGACAGCACCGAGTCTTCTAGGTATGGAATGAACAAGTTGGCAACACATTGCAACATCTATCTTTTTCCATTCTTCAAGAAGAACCTCTTTTAGAGCCTGGATGCTGGATGGAGAGTTGTGCTCAACTTCCTGATTCAGAATTCCCCACAGGTGTTCCATTGGGTTCAGATCAGGAGACATACTTGGTCTTTCAATGACCATCACCCTGTTCTTCTTCAGAAATGCAACAGTAGCTTTAGATGTGTGTTTTGGATCATTGTTGTGTTGGAAAAGTGCACGATGACCAAGAGCACGGAGTGATGGCAGTATCCTCTCCTTCAGCATAGAGCAGTCCATTGTTGAGTTCATGCAGCTCCCCAACACCAGCAGCACTCATGCTTCCCCACATAAGGACACCGTCACCTCCATGCTTCACTGTAGGCACCATGCATTTCTCTTTGAAATCCTCATCTTTACAACGCCATGCAGTCACCTGGGGTAATAGTTATTTGGGGTGTACTCATTTTTGCAACATGGGCTTGAATGGATTTGTTATGAAAATCACTTTTTTGTGTGTGCAAATTAACAAATCTTGTTTGCAATCAATGGTCCACATTTGTGGGAGAAAATGTTGATTCTGAAAGGAAACTAAAGGTTTTCTGACAAATGTAGTGGGATGTACTTATTTATTCTGAGCCCTGTATTTCAAAGGCTTGAGACTCGAAGTTGACTTGGACATGCAAATTAAATGTTTGTGACTTGACTTTGCTTATCCCTAACATATTTAAGACTTAGTTTGGACATGGTTTTCAAGTACTTGACTTGGACTTGCATGCCAGGAATTTGTAATTTGACTTGGACTTGTAAATTAAACACTTGAGACTTAACTTGTACTTGGTCTTCATAGAAACGAGACTCGGTGTGGATATGCACATCAAAGACTTTACTAAAACTTGGCCTTTAAAGACTTGAGTAGATTTGGAATTGCAAGTCAAATGTTTGAGACTTGACACTGAATTTGCACTCAAATATTAAAGAACTGATTTGACTTTCTATCTGAAACACATGATACTGGACATGTACTTAGCTTTCAAAGGCTTGAAACTTGACTTGGGCTTACATCCCAGGGACTTGTAACTTGACTTGGAAAGATATGTCAATGTCCAGTTTATTTATATAGCACATTTCCAACAATAGCTTTCAAAGGCTTGAAACTTGACTTGGGCTTACATCCCAGGGACTTGTAACTTGACTTGGAAAGATATGTCAATGACCAGTTTATTTATATAGCACATTTCCAACAATCAGAGACTCCAAAAAGTGCTGTACACAGACAAGCAATAAAAATAAAATGATAAAACACTGAGAACCTTCCAGTAGACCCTAAAATTACTTAACTATAAAATCAGTTAAAAGCAAGGGTAAAAAGGTAGGTTTTTAAAAGAGACTTAAAAGCAGAAAGACTGTTAGCAGACCTAATCTGCAGGAGAAGGCTGTTCCAGAGCTTGGAAGCGGCCACAGAAAAGACTCTTGTCGCCTCTGGACTTCATCCTAGACTTGGGAACAGATAAAAGATGTAGAGAGGATGATCGGAGGTTTCGTTTAGGGACATGAGTGTTTAAAAGTTCCGACAGATAAGGAGGGGCGAAATTGTGTTGTGCCTTAAAACAGATCAGTAGCATTTTAAATTGAATCCTGTAAGTGATCGGGAGCCAGTGAAGAGCTTGTAAGACTGGTGTTATGTGATCCCTGCGCCTCCTACCTGTCAGCAAGCGGGCTGCCGCATTCTGAGCCACCTGCAAGCGGTGAATTGACGACTGCTCCAGTCCATGATAAAGTGAGTTGCAGTAGTCGGGTCAAGACATGATTAGCATGTGTATAACCTTTTCAAAGTCTTTGAGTGGTAAATAGGGCTTGACTTTACTAAGAACACGCAAATGAAACAGCACAATCTGGACCACAGAACTTATCTGTTTATCAAGTTTAAAATGGCCATCAATGCAAAAACCCAGATTTCTTGCCTGAGACACACAAAGGATTCTAAAGGGCCAAATACACTGTTTACCATGTGCAACAGCCCAGGGTCCCCAAAAACAACAATTTCTGTCATTTTGTCATTTAAAGTGAGAAGGTTCAATTGTAGCCAGTTTTTAACATCTTTTAGACAATTCAGTAATTTGTCAAATGATGGCCATCGAGAATGTAGTGGGACATATATCTGCACATCGTCCGCAAAGAAGTGATACGCAATGCCATGCTTATGAAAGATTGCACCAAGAGGCAACATATACAGCGAGAACA